GACTTAAATGCTATTTTTATAGCACTCTTGCTTGTAGAAGCAGTCATGATGTATTCAGGCCAAAGAGGGGCTAGTCTCTAATGAGTCTAAGACTGAGCACCATATTGATTTTCTATGGCTATTTTTAAAAATTACCACAAACGTGAAGCCCTGAAACAACAGAAACATATTCTCTCACGGCCCAAGGGGCCACAGGTCCAAAACCAGTATCAGCTGGGTCAAAGTCAAGGTGTCAGCAAAGCCATGCACCCTCCAGTGGCCCCAGGTAAGAAACCATCTATTGCCTCTTCCAGCTTCTTGGAGCCAGGACTTCCTGGGTTTGTGGATGCATCACTCTCATCTATGCCTCTGTGATCACACTGCCTCCTCTTCTGTGTAGATGACCTCCTTGACTCTTGACTCTTTCTGGTTAGTACTCAGGGCCAACTAGGATAATCTAGATAATCTCATCTAAAACCCTTAATCACAACTGCAAAACTTTATCATATAACATGACTTGCAAAAATTTGTAGAAAAATGGAATTGAAATATGAGTTTATTTTGATGCAAAAACCCTTGAAATCAGAAATTTTCTCATAATATGCATTTTCCAAGAAACTTTTGAAGGACCTTCCCCCACCCCATATAAAGTAATACTCATAGGTTCTAGGGATTAAGGTCTGATATCTTTGGGGACCCACCATTCAGCCCCAAATCTTGTTTTCCCTAAAGGAGGGTCTACACTAGGCAGACATTCCAAAAGGTGGCTACTAGAATTCAGATGGAGAGTTCTTCCAGAAAGTTGTATCTCAGCTCATCTGGGACTTTGTTATTCCCCTCTTGTATTTTTTTCCCTTTTGTCCTCTTGTCAGGAAGGAGCAGAGAGTAACAGAAAAACAGGCCCAGCCCAGAGACAGGAGACATGGAGGGCCATGGTTCGGCTCAGAAGCAGACTGGGGAACAGAGTAGGCCTCCAGGCATCCCATGCCATCCCAGTTTCTCCCCTTGGCACAGTGTATTTGCATAGGAAAATGAAAGTTGGAACCTTCAGCACTGCTGCCAATTCTGAGATAAAAGTGGTTCACATCCCAAGTCCACGAGGACTTGTTAGGAAACAATCAGGGCCTGAGAATTTGCGCCCCCAACCTGATTCTAAGCCATGCAGACTGCCCAGGAGGCCCATCCCTCTTGCCAACACCAGGATGGCTTCCTTGGGACTCAGGTCTTTCTTGAGACTCTCACTGCCAAGCCCCTGACTTGGAGTTCTCTGTTCCTCTCCTGTGTCCCATTCTTAGTCTGTGATCCTCTGGGCATTTCTTGTTAGTTGAACTGCTTTCCCAGACTATGTGTGTAGTCACTTTTCCCTCTGGGAGGACACATTTATTCCCATATGTTCACCTGGCCAGTCAGTTATGCGGGCAGAAGGTAGGCTGCCAGGCTCCTAGGCCAGTTCTCAGAAGAGGGACGTAGGAGGAATGCTGGAGGGATACTTAGACAGGCAGAGAGCTGCTGTCCAATATCATCCTTCTTTTATCCTTTTTTGTTTTTCTTAATTTGCCAGAGGGCACATGTGCTTGCCAGAGAGACAGAGAGTACCTTCTCCTCCATTCTCCTTCCAGAATCTTGGGCACATGTACACCTGGTATGATTTTCAATTCACCAGGTCCAGGACTCAAACTATGGTCAGCCATAAGGGAGTCCAACGACGTAACTGCTATGCCATCTGCTGGCCTCCCAAATGTGTTTTTTAGGCTGCCTGGGATCTGAACTATGGGCACCATGTGGCTTCCAGAAATGCAGGGCATTAGTTCAACACAGCATCTGAGTCAGAAACGCAGGGCATTAGTTCAACACAGCATCTGAGCCATCTTTCTTCCTTATTTGTAGTCCAAAGACAAGAGAGAGATCCCAGAGAATGATAACGATAGATCTGAATCAAGGAGCAAACAGGATATGTGTGTGCTATCAGGAAATTTTGAGGTGAGGGTGCTCTCTGCCTTGAAGGGGGTTTTAACTCAACATTACAAATAACTTCCTTGCCTCTCTAGGCACCGTTCAGGATTCCAACCTTTGGTTAATGCTTCCAGCTAACATTTTCTCTGCTTTTGTTTTAGAAAGAAGTGAACCTGTGCTCTCTAGTGTATAAATATCCATTATACTGTCTCTGAGTAATGCGAATAATTTCCTACTCCATCATTTCCACACGTACAAACAAGCAGAGGACTTAAATGCTATTTTTATAGCACTCTTGCTTGTAGAAGCAGTCATGATGTATTCAGGCCAAAGAGGGGCTAGTCTCTAATGAGTCTAAGACTGAGCACCATATTGATTTTCTATGGCTATTTTTAAAAATTACCACAAACGTGAAGCCCTGAAACAACAGAAACATATTCTCTCACGGCCCAAGGGGCCACAGGTCCAAAACCAGTATCAGCTGGGTCAAAGTCAAGGTGTCAGCAAAGCCATGCACCCTCCAGTGGCCCCAGGTAAGAAACCATCTATTGCCTCTTCCAGCTTCTTGGAGCCAGGACTTCCTGGGTTTGTGGATGCATCACTCTCATCTATGCCTCTGTGATCACACTGCCTCCTCTTCTGTGTAGATGACCTCCTTGACTCTTGACTCTTTCTGGTTAGTACTCAGGGCCAACTAGGATAATCTAGATAATCTCATCTAAAACCCTTAATCACAACTGCAAAACTTTATCATATAACATGACTTGCAAAAATTTGTAGAAAAATGGAATTGAAATATGAGTTTATTTTGATGCAAAAACCCTTGAAATCAGAAATTTTCTCATAATATGCATTTTCCAAGAAACTTTTGAAGGACCTTCCCCCACCCCATATAAAGTAATACTCATAGGTTCTAGGGATTAAGGTCTGATATCTTTGGGGACCCACCATTCAGCCCCAAATCTTGTTTTCCCTAAAGGAGGGTCTACACTAGGCAGACATTCCAAAAGGTGGCTACTAGAATTCAGATGGAGAGTTCTTCCAGAAAGTTGTATCTCAGCTCATCTGGGACTTTGTTATTCCCCTCTTGTATTTTTTTCCCTTTTGTCCTCTTGTCAGGAAGGAGCAGAGAGTAACAGAAAAACAGGCCCAGCCCAGAGACAGGAGACATGGAGGGCCATGGTTCGGCTCAGAAGCAGACTGGGGAACAGAGTAGGCCTCCAGGCATCCCATGCCATCCCAGTTTCTCCCCTTGGCACAGTGTATTTGCATAGGAAAATGAAAGTTGGAACCTTCAGCACTGCTGCCAATTCTGAGATAAAAGTGGTTCACATCCCAAGTCCACGAGGACTTGTTAGGAAACAATCAGGGCCTGAGAATTTGCGCCCCCAACCTGATTCTAAGCCATGCAGACTGCCCAGGAGGCCCATCCCTCTTGCCAACACCAGGATGGCTTCCTTGGGACTCAGGTCTTTCTTGAGACTCTCACTGCCAAGCCCCTGACTTGGAGTTCTCTGTTCCTCTCCTGTGTCCCATTCTTAGTCTGTGATCCTCTGGGCATTTCTTGTTAGTTGAACTGCTTTCCCAGACTATGTGTGTAGTCACTTTTCCCTCTGGGAGGACACATTTATTCCCATATGTTCACCTGGCCAGTCAGTTATGCGGGCAGAAGGTAGGCTGCCAGGCTCCTAGGCCAGTTCTCAGAAGAGGGACGTAGGAGGAATGCTGGAGGGATACTTAGACAGGCAGAGAGCTGCTGTCCAATATCATCCTTCTTTTATCCTTTTTTGTTTTTCTTAATTTGCCAGAGGGCACATGTGCTTGCCAGAGAGACAGAGAGGGAAAGACAGAAAGCACCTCCCATGGGGTGTGTTCATGCCACAATCCTCCATTTCCCCATCCTGTCAGGATTTTAGGCACACACGCACATGCACCTGGTGTGTTTTTCAAGTCATTGTGTCCAGGATTTGAACTACAGTCAGTCATGTGAGATCTGGAACCATTAACCACTAGGCCATGAGACCAGCACTTGTTTTTTTTTAATGAAAGGAAGTGCATCTATGTGCATGAGAGAGAGAGAGGGAGGGAGAGTGAAAGCACCCTCATAGGCTCTTGTCATGCTACAATCCCTTTTCTCCAGCTCTCTAGCACCTCAGGATTGTAGATGCCAGCTCATGTGACCAGCGTGTTTCCCGGGGTTCTGAACTGCAATCACCACATAGCTTCTAAAACTGCGGGGCACTCTGCCACCGTGCCACATGGCTGGGCCAACAATCAGAACTTTCTATGGGGCACACGGATTGTCAGGACTGCCTCAGAGTTCAGGAAGCACAAGTCCTCATTCAAAATCTAGAAGTGCTCTCTACACTGAGTCTCACAGTGGAGTGTTGAAGAACTCAGTCTCTGGAACTAGGTGGCCAGGACTCAAACCCCAGGTCTGCCACTTATTAGCAGTGTGACATGGGGCACTCAATTAAGCTAAACCTTTTTGAGCCGACCTGCAGAATGGCAATAATACCAGGATTAGGTACAGATGAAACTAGATAATGTTTAACACAGTGCTAAGTGTATGAAGTGGTTGTCCAGATGCGGGGTCTTCAATGGAAACTGTTTATTATAAAATTATTATCATAGTTTATAATTTATATTTATATTATAAAAAATTATGCTGGGCCAGCAAGCGGCATAGAGGATAAGATGACTGGATCCCATTTGGACGACTGCATGGTTTGAGTCTCAGACCCAGCAACTTAAAAACACTTTGGGCACATGTGCATGTGTGCCCAAAATCCCAAGAGGAGAAGGGACTGTGGCATGGTCATCCCCTTGAGGGGTGATATTTTACTCCCGCGCTCCCTCTCTGTCTCTGGTGAGTGCATGTGGCCTACAGCAAACTAAAAACAAAACAAACTATATACAGATTTCAAAAATTTTGTACCAAAATAAACCCACACTTTAACTCCATTTTCTATGGATTTTTAAAGTCCTCTTGTATTAGCTAGTATTGATATTTTTTCCCTAAGCAAGTCAGTATTGAAGAGCTGCTCAAGTAACTCGGCACCCAAATGTATACATATAAAATATTTTATTACAAAAAGCTCAGTTGCATGACATTTCAGAGGGAACAGAACATCTCCTAGAGTTTTCTTTTTTGCCATTACACTGAAGAGACTAGTAGAGTGTACCGATGAACACGATTTCCTCATGCATCGTGAGCTGAAGTTCATCAGGCATTAGGCCCTCAAAGAACTGACAGCATCAGGGGCGCTGAGAGAGCCGCCAACTGGGCCCACTGCTTAATTCACATAATGGCCCTGTGTACTTTCTACAGAGTGGAGGTCGGATTTCCTACCCATAGCTCAGTACTCTGGTAAAGCAAGCAGAAACGAAGCTTGTTTTCTTCCTGAAACAGAACAGTCTAGTGGAAGTGGAAGCCAAACGAGCAGTCTCAACCAGGCACTGGGCATCCTTTCCCAGCTGGGAGGAGGAGTGCGTCACCAACAGTCAGAGTTGAGGGAGGAATGGGGAAGATGCCATGCCACGCCCCTGGGCCACATGACCCCGCTCTGCAGGAGGTCGAGCTCCAATCAGCATCTCTTGCTGATGCACCTGCTACACGAGGCTTCGGAGGGGCAGAGTCACCCCTGACACAGAATCCCTCCCCACCCGTCTGAGCTGCAGAGTGTGCATCTGGCCCCTCCGCGTCTCAGCTGTGACTTAAGTGGCTTTGTGACAGTCCTTTGGGGTGGAGGGTGTGAGAGACAGGAGGGAACACAGCATAAGTGGGATGTTCAGTCAGGTGGCCGGGCATTGGGGGCCTTCTCCTGGACTTCGTCATACTGTGGCGGAGGAGTCAAAGGCTCAATGGAGGGAGGAGGGACATTTTTGTCTGGGAGGTTGATCCTAAAGTCTTTGAGGTGGAGTTTTTCAGATTTAATCCTTCGAACTTTCAGTGGTTTCAGGCGTTTGGCCAGCCTCGAGTTCTGCCTGTCAGGGGGATTCCCTGGGCTGGTCTCCACCTCGGTCCTTGTAGTTGTGGGTGTCGTCTCGTCAAGCCCTGTCAATGACTCATATGAGGGCAGAGAGATGCTCATCCTTGGGTTCTGGTCCAATTCCCTTGTTTCTGAGTAGTTTGTGTTCATCACTTCCTCATAGCTGGGGACGTAGTACCTGGAGGCAGCCTCTTCCTCATCCTCCTCTTGGCTGCAAGAGGACAAATACAGTGTTAGCACGCACTCAAATTGTTTCAAATCATACAAAGATGGACTCCGAACCTTGGGTTTGGGTCCATGCATGCCAGCCTTGTAAATGGGTCCTTAACCAGTGAAAGTGAACACATTGACTCCATGTCCCTTAGGGGCTTGATGCTGTTCTAAGTACCTCACACATATGAGCCAGTTTCATATTCCAAACACCATCTTGAACTAAGTGCCATTACTTACCCATTCTGTGGATGGGGAAACTGACTGAGCAAGGCAAAGTGACTTCGTCACATCTTTAGGAAGTGAAAGGGCAGGAAGTGAATTCTACACTCAACCCCTACCCTGTTATTACCTGAACGTTAAACCTCTTTTGCCTTTAAGCCTTTCACAAAAAAAGAAAATGGTGGGGATGCTAATTTCAGTGCCCAACTAGGTCCTCTGGCTAACAGCAACACAAAAATAAATGAAGAAGCTGCCAATCTGAAGCAACATGATTGTCCCCAGGTAGAGAAGGAATATCTGAACTATGAAACTTGACACATATCTCAAATTATTCTGTAATTTTCTCTTCCAAGTTCATTCTTGGACTCAAAAAGACCAGGTCCTCAGCCTTAATCTCACCTGATAATCAAAAGACAAAACCAAAGTCAGGACATTTTTTTACACAGAGAGTAAAACCAACAGCCATTTTCTAGGACCTTGGCGCCCCCCAGCTGAATCTGTGGGTTGACAATGCCATCATCAGAAACTTCACTGCCCTGACGTTGCTCTCACCCTACTTTAGGAGTAACTCGTGGGTGTTCATGGCTAGGCTGGAGATTATAGGTGACTGCTCTTTTCTGTATCTTCCAAGTGTTCCAGAATAAGCATGTGTGATGGTTAGTTTCCTATGTCACCATGACCAACACGATGTCTGGGGTGCCTGCGAGGGTGTTTCTGGAAGAGGTTAGCACTGGAATAGTGGACTCAGCAAAGCAGATCCCTCCTCCCCAGTGAGGGTGGGCACCATCCAATCTGTGAAGGAAGGAGGGATTTGGCCCATTTCCTGTCTCACTGTTGAGTTGAGGCTCATCTCATCATCTCCTGCCCTTGGACTTCTCCCGCCCTTGGGATTTACACGATTGGTTCCCTGGTTTTCAGACTCAGACCGAATCATGCCACTGGCCGTCCTGGGTCTGCAGCTCACAGACAGCAGATGGTGGGACTTTCGGCCTCCATAATCACGTGAATCAATTCTTTGTAGTACCCCTCTTTCTTAATATATGAGGGGACTTCAACAAGTTCATGGAAAATGGAATTAAACATGAGTTTATTTTAGTGTAAACATTTTTAAAACCACACATAGTTTTCTAATATACATCTAGTTTTCTTACTTTTTCTGAGCGATTTTGCTATAGGGTACTCGCATGTGCTTGCCAAAGAGAGGGAGAGACAGAAAGACAAAAAGCGAGAAATCAACCCTTGGGGGGATGGTCAAGCCACAATCCCTTCTCCTCCATTCTTCTCAGGATTTTGGGCACTCATGCAAGCACACGTGCCCGGCATGACGTTAGCCACAGGGTCCAGGACCCGAACTATGGTCGACTACATGGGAGTTCAGCAATGCAGCCATTTTACCATCTGCAGGCCCCAAGTTTTCTGATTCACATTCTTCACAAGCTTTTTAAAGTCCACTTATATATATATCCCACTGGTCCTGTTTCTCCAGAGCAGTCTGTTATCTTTTTGTATCAGAAAATGGGTTTAATATTCCCCAACTCAAAACAGTTCCTTTCTTGCTGTATCAGTAAGAAATGCTTGTAGAAAAAAAAAAAAAAAAAAAAAAAAGCCAAATGACACAGAAAAACTGCAGAAAATAAAAAACATCTCCAATCCTTCCTTCACTGTTAACATCCTGGTGCACTTCTCTCTGATCTCCCAGGAATCCCACCGCCCAGCCACAACATTTGATGTGCCTAGGGCCTTACCAAAGGTGCAGGGTTTGTGGCCCCACAGTAGCAGACGTGCACAGGCCAACCGCAGCTGCAGAGCCCCCCTGTGAATGGGTATGTCATTGTCTACTCTGTGACGGGCACTCGGGTGGTTTCTGAGTTTGCACTGCCCTGAGTAATGCTCTGATGAACGCACTGGACAAACTCCTCTGCCCACATGTGATGTCTCCCAGGGCGAAACTTGGGAATAGAATCAGTAAGGACACACACACGTCTTCAATACTGCCCCTTCAATTCCCCTGCCCTACAACTCCCCAACACTGGGGGCTATCTGCAAGGCATTTCAACAGGTTCACGGAAAAACGGAATTAACGTACAAGTTCATTTGGGTGAAAAACAAATTTTGGAATCTATGCTGAGGTTTTTCACAATACATTTTCCTGGGAGTTTTTGAAGACCCCCTCATAGCTTGGGCAATAGGACAGGGAAAAAAAAAAATGATGTCTCCTTTTTGTTTGCATTTCATGACTTAAGAGGTAGAGAATCTATGAATATTTGTTCACCACCCTTGCCCATTTTCATACTAGTGTGTTCACCTTTGAGCATCATTGTTAGGGTTAATCATTGTTAGGGCTCTTTTTATAACACGGATATTATCCTTCATCCTGTTCCCCAGTTTATCACATCTCTTAAATTTGTTTGTGACATTTCTGGTTAAAAGAATACTGCTTTCTGGAGCCAGCAGGTGGCATGGTGGTTGAGGTGTTGGACTCCCACATGCTTGACTGCAGTTCGAGTCCTGGCCCTGGTGGATCACTTTCTCACTTTCCCTTTCTCTCTGTCTCTCTCTGGTCAAATTAAATAATAATAATAAATGAAGGGAAATAAATAATTCTTAAAAAGAAAATAAAAGAATACCGCTTCCCAACATGAAAGCATACATCGTCAGTACACTGGGGTGAACAACAGGCCACCACTCAAGAGGCTCAGGTCACTCTGGGCTCTACCCAGTTTCCGTGAGGGTGTAGACATCCTGGTCCACTTATTGTCCACTATGACCACATTATTGGGAAAACTCCAATACACAGGTATGAAGTTATTAGTAAAATGATAAATTGTTGGGGCTAGCAGGTGGCGTGGTGGTTAAGGTGCTGGATTCCCACACGGCCAACTGTGGTTCAAGTCCTGGGATTTGCAGCTTGCTTTCTCATTCTGCCTCTCTCTCTCTTTGTGTCTCTCTCTGGTCAAATTGAAGAATAATAATAAACAAATAAAATCGGATAAATAATTTAAAATAAAAAATGATAAACTGCTTTACCAAGCCTTCATGGAAGACAGTGGGGAGGTACGGCCCTCCAGACTAAAGCACCTGCACCACTACAGGTGTGTCTGTGCGTGCGCGTCCCTGGGGGAGGGCAGGGTGGGCCAGCGGTCCTCACCTGTCTTCCTCCTGGGTGGGAGGCACGACCCCCGTCTGGTGCTGGATGCGGGCCATCTCCTCACCCTGCCGCTGCTTCCTCTTGTCGCGGATGCTCAGGCAGATGGAGAGCAGCAGCAGCAGCACGCCGGCCCCGACCAGCACGTAGGCCACAGAGAAGGTCTTGCTCTTCAGGATGCCGCTGCCTATCTCGGTCTTGTTGCCCTGAGCTGTAGGCTTTTCGGCCCCACTGAACCCAGGCACCAGGTTCCACATGGCCATGATGACCCCGAGGACCAACATCCCCAGGCCGATGGCGGTCAGCGCATAGTGGGATCCATTGGCCTTGGACTGGGCCATCATGCCAGCGGGAGCGGGGCAGGGCCCAGTTCAAAGAGGGAGAATAAATAAATGACAAGCAGCAGCAGCAGCAGCAGCAGCAGCAGCAGATCACTCCACTGCACTAAGCCAGACCTCTAGCGTCACATTAAAGAAACGTCTGCTGAACTCTGCAGGGGTGGCTCCGAGCAAATGCGAGGCATCTTGTATGGACGGCTGCAGCTGAGAGGTCTGGAAGAAAAGCAGAGGAGCAGAGAGAAAAATCAGCACAGATTCGAGACACTTTGGGAACACAGCGGCTCTGCCCTGGAGGAGTTCAGAAGCAAACCCGGCCACCGGCTCTGGCTCCGGAGGCCCTTTGATACATTCCAGATGTCTTACGTGCTCATATCCCGTGTAAGGCTGGTCCGCCTACACCCACCGAAAAGGAAAAGCCAGGCCTCTCCCTGCAGGAGGCCAGAGAGGTCAGCACTCAGGTCATTAAAACATTTTGTGGAATTTAATGAAGTGCAGTGAAATTGCAGCTTTCCCTGAATGCAGCAACAAACGGGGATGATGGCATGGGCGAGCCATGACCATCGGCTGGGGCAGCAGGGCCCAGCAGTGCCCGGGTGAGGGTAAGCCCCACTCCAAATTGCCTACTGTGGTCTGTCCACCACCCTCAATGGCTCCCTATCCCCTGCAGGAGAAAAGCCAGATCCTTAGAATGATGCTCTTGCTGTTTAACCTGATTTGATTTTCCTACTTCATCCCCTCACCTGGCCCCTCTTTGCACGCTCTCTGGCATTTTGCGGTTCTCTGATCTCCAGCTCTGGTGTCTCTTCCATGTACTCCTCCAAGCCGCCCAGCCCCAAGCACCTACAGTGGAAATTCTCTCTCCTCCTGTGACCCCATCCCTCCATCATCTCTGAGCCTAGCACATAGTAGGGATTCAGAAAAGATCCCGAGTTAGGACTGAATGAAGCAAATCAAGGCTACACAAAGCTACCCAGCAAGACAAGCTTTTCTTCAACCACTCTGAGATTTCCTTTCCTTAAGGGAAGCTGTGTGTTTCTCATCTTAGCTCCTGTGTCCAATTGGACCAAAAAAACCCTCTTCTCACAAAGCAGCTCAGAGCCCTGTGCTAAAGGAAGCAGCCAGCAGTCCTGGGATGTCACAGGCGCCTGTTGGTTGAGAGCGAGGCAGAGAAGCAAGGCATGGGAGGCCTGGGTTACGGCACCTTCAGGGACCAAGAAGGAGGAGTGAGCAGCATGCCTTGCTGACCACTCCGCAGTCGTTATCCCTGCAGCAGGAAGCTCTGTGGAGCAACAGAACTTTACAGCTGTCTAGTTGGACGAGGTCCTGTTTCCAGTTCTGCATTCTTTCCGATCTTTCCAAAGGACAGCTAACCAGGCTGCTTGAAATCTGATGCTGCGGAGATATTTTCTTGGCCAACCACGGGCTTAATCTGAAACTGACCATTTTGTTAAAGATACTCTAAAAATATTTGGAACAACATCCTTTATCAGCTTGAGGTCCATGCCTTTGATTTATTTATTTAAGTTTATTTTGAGAGCAAGAAGGAGGAAGGCAGGGAGAGTCAGGTAACCCTGGTCCCACCACACTGTGACACTCCCCCGCCCCCTGCCTTCCAGCTAGCCAAGATCACAGGTGTGCACCCAGCATGTTCGGATCAATCCAGGATCCAAACCTGGCATCTCCCGTATGGCTGTGTATCAGGCAGCAGCACACCATCACCTGTGCCTCCATAGCAAGGCCTAAACCCTTTTTGTTTTTGACTCAACAAGCATTTCTTGAGCTTCTAACCACCTGCTAAGCAGCATGTTAGGCATTGGAAAAACACTGGCGAGCAAATTAGGGATGAGCAGGGCTTCCAGGCCAGCAGGGAAAAAAAAATCTATAAGGAATAGCCAAAAACTGGGAAGATAGTAGAGATACCATGGGATTGGAGAGCAGGGGGTCCTCATTCAGGCTCCGGGCTGTGAGAGAAAGCCCATCAATATAATAGGGCCTGTACTGTTGAGTGCATACCACGTATGTGCACACATATGCACACCTGTATACACACGTATATACACACACTCACACCTGCATGCTTATTCATGCACATGTACATGTGCACACTGTGAGCACATGTGCACATATGCATGCATGTGTAAAGGGCAGGAGCAGGTGTGTGTATATGCACGTGGAGTACAGGGCTCTGCTGCAGAGAGCTGCGCTGGGACCAGCTGGGAACAGTCTACCACACACAGAAGCGTTGTTTCTCCCAGTGTCAGTCATGGCCAGTGAAGGGAAGGTTGGGGCTTTGGCAGCCCTGGGAATGCACCTGATCTGACAATGCACAAGACAAGGTCAGGCTTGGAGGGCTCAGTGGTGGAGAGCATTGTGCTAGAAGCAGGAGAGATGAAAAACACTTCCTGAGTACCTGCTCAATGTCTGAGAGGCAGGTCTTAGATCTGGGAGGCTGAGGGTGTGTTTATCAGACCTGTGACTTGGGCTACTCTGACCTTTCTCCCTCCCCGTTCTGGTTCATTCTCGACTAAAGCTTTGCTTTATATCGTCATGTAGAAAGACAAGCTCCAGAAGAGAGCTGGGGCAAAGATGAAAATGCTAGGATTCATATATTCTTTTGGTCTGTTAAATTGTGAATGATCAAAACAGGTGATAATGCCCAGTGTGGAAAGGGTATTGGGCAATTCCATATAATTTTTTTGGATGATGAGTTTTGGTATTTCTGAATCAAAAGAGCAAAAATACTTATAGCCTTTAGCTTTGTAATTCAAACTTCTAAGAATTATGTACAAAGATAATCCCCACAGCTTTCTAGTAGTGAGAAGCCAGAAGCCACTGAAATAGCTGATAATCCCGATCTGGTTGAATAAAGTATGGCACATACACTCATGAAATTATGGCCTCAAAGCAGCTAGTGATATATTTTTAAGTCAAACAATAAGATTTTTTAAACTATTTTTTTATAATTTAATTTAATTTATTTATTCATTTATTTTAATTTTATCAGAGAGAGACAGGAAGAGACAGAGAGAGAGAGGAAAAGTGAAAAAGCAAGCCACCAGGTCTGGGACTCAAACCGTCAAACCATGGTCGAACATTGGGAGTGTCCAGCGCCTTAACCACCATGCCCCCTGTTGGTTCCCCTCAAACAATAAGATTAAAACTACAGTGTGTTCAGTATGACTCTAATTTTTAAAAAAAACTCTACACATATAGACAAATGAGAAGAGTCTTCAAAAAATTTGTAGAAAACAGAATTAAAGTATGATCTTATTTTAGTGCAAAAAATTGAAGCCCATGTATTTTTTTTTTCCCTTTTCTTTTTTATAAGCTTTTCCAAGTTTTTGGACCCCTCCCTGCTTGATGGGAGCTTGCTCTTCCTCTTGATAAACTCCTGGGTGAGCCCTATTTTGAATATTTTATAGTCGGATTGTGCTGTTGCGAGGCAGCTATGCTGAGTGGCTAAGACTGAACTTTGGATCAGACTGTCTGGGCTTGGATCCTCACTGTTCCTTCCCAGCTGGTGACCTTGGGTAAGTTACTTACCCTCTCTATGACCTGGTTTCTCAAACGGCAAAATGGAGATGAAAAACTCTAGTCCCCACCTCACAGGGGAGTTGTGATAGGCAGATGAATGTATATAAAGCACCTAGAATAGCATCTAACTAGCACATAGGAAGTTCTGATATAAAGGTTTGTTATTTCCTATTTTGTGCTGTTTTAATTGCCAGAGGGCATGCGTGTTTGCCAGAGAGAGACAGAGACAGAGAGACAGAAAGGAGGAGAAAGCACCCTCCCTTAGTAGAGCATGGTCGCACCACAACCCCTTCTCCATTTCTCTATCCTGTTGGCATTCTGGGCATGCACACGGACGGCACTCAGTGTGTCTTATTAAGCTGGCAGGACCAGGATTTGAACCATGCTTGGTCTTCTAGGACCTGGCTCACTTAACCACTAGGTGTAGGCTAGCCTGCCTTTAAATTTTTTTTTTTTAAAAGATCTTTGCTGTAGGGTATATGCACTTGCTGGAGAGAGACAGAGAAGGAAAGAAAGCTCCCCCCAGGGGAATGGCTATGCTGAGATCCCTTCTCCTCCAATCTCCTCTGGGATGTTCGGCGTGCATGCACATGTGCCCAGCATGTTTTTCAAGCCGTCAGGTCCAGAACTCAAACTGTGTAGTTGGTTATGTGGGATCCAGTGCCTTAACTACCATGACCTGCTGTCCCCAACGTTCTAGATGGAGTGTGATCACATGCAAGGGGCAAAAACTGGTTCTTAGGGATGGAGTGAAAAAATGATATTACGATGGCCTGCACGGGCCACAGTACACAGACAGACACGCAGTGTCCCCTTGGGATTAAAATATCATGGGGTTGAGAGGAATCTTCAAGAAAGAATGTTAAAAAGAATTTTAAAAAGAGTCTATGAAAGAAGGTTAAGAAACACTAATGCACCATATGAAATTCCAAAGCACTTGGATTATATATGCTGTGATGTTTATAGTTATTTTCTCTGTGTGGTGAGATTAAAGATGATTTTTATTTTCTTTTTCTTACTGGGAAAATAAGAACCAGAAAACAGAAAAATTCATGCTTTACTTTCATAATATAAAAAAAAAAAACCTAAAGGTTTTGTGTTTTGGGTTCAGGGCAAGGTTCTGTGTCCAATGGTAGCTTAACCCATTCGCCGGACTCAGCCCTTCCTCTGCAGACATGATCTGTCCGGGCCGGACGGGGTCTGCGGAACCCCAGCTCCCTGCAGTGCAGCTGGCCGGCTGTTTATCGTTTCTGGCTTGTTGACCCTGGGCAGCAGCCATGATATATTTAGTATGATGTTCTTTCCCTTTCAAAAATATGGTAAGAAGCTAATTCTGTGCTTAGAGGATTTAGCCTCTAACATGGCCCTAAAATGGAACAGCCCTAAAATGGTGGCAGCTGGGACCCCAGACTCACCTCTGGACCCGTCACTGCTCGTGTTTGAGGCAGAGCTATGGAGAAGAGAAAGATCTTGTATCTGGGTTTCTAAGAAGAATTGTTAACCAGGTAAGGGACAGACCTACGTTCCCAGGGAAGATTTAAGGTAGACCTGAAAACCACTCTTCATGCTAAAGTCTTCATAAGGACCGCTCTGTAAGGAACTAGAGACCCTGTGTTCTGAGTAAGCTATGAAAACTGCAGTCTCATGAGGTACTTATGGGTAGGCATGTTCCTCCCAGGGGGAGAGGGAAAAGGAGGAGTTGAGGTAGGTGTGATATTCAAGATAGTGGTACCAAAAGAAGCCAAAATGCTGCACAGCAAAATGTGGGTTGCAAAAGGATGACAATACGGTAGCTATGTTTATCAAAGCCTTCTGTGGTTTCATCCATCTCACACAGACGTTCCAGAGAATACAGAGGAACACCCTCAGATCATTTTATGAGGACTGTATCGTCTCAATACCAAAACCAGAAAAGAACAAGGCAAGAAAGAAAGATGACAGGCCGATCGGATCCATCAGGAGAGTTGCAAAAATCTTAAAACTCTACTGAATGGAATCTTTTTAAAAAGATCAAGCTGGGTTTATCCCAAGAGTACAAGGTCCCAAGAATGCATTAGGAACTAGATTCATGTCATATCTCAGGACAAAGGATAAGCCACAAATGTCACCCAGTTTACTACACAGTAGTGATAACGAATCACTCCCAACTCCACGCACCTTGAGGACAATTCTGACCCATGTAATAATGCTCAGTTGAAGTTCAAACTGCAGAATATACAGAGCATGATTCCATGTCAATGAAGTTTAAAACCAGGTAAAACCAAATACTACATTGCTCAATATTTGTAATATTTGAAAGACAAGCAAAGATTATAAACTAAAGTTCAGAATAATAGCTACCTACAGGAAGAATGTAGAGTAATATTGAAAGAATAGTGAGGGGGTACATGGGTATCCTTAAAATTCACATCAGTTGTATATATAGTCTTGAACTGAAATATTTTGTAATAACAATTTCCCAAAACTCATCAATGTTTTTTCATTACTCTTAGTGTAAAATCTGAACTCCTTTTGCCACGGCCTTCCAGTCTCACCTGTCTCCCGACGGATGGAGCTCTCTCTCATATCTCCCAGCCCACTAGTCCTCCCCAACTTCCATTCTGTTCCTC